TTTTCTGTCTTGTTTTTGGGTCCCAGACAAGCAAGTGAAGCCTGAGCCATTACCCCAGATTGGCTCCTCCTGACTTCTAATCTCTCTTTGAAGGCCTCCGGGATAGTGAAGATTGCTGTTTTCTTGGGGACTTGGAGAAGCATCTGAGAAAACAGGCTTCTGTTGAGGGGAATCGTGGAATCTGCCCACCTCCCAAGCCTGGGGGTAGAAGTGCCGCCCTGGGGTCTGGAGTTGTGTGGGCTTCCCGGCACATTCCCCTCCCACGCCCACCCCGGCCCTGTCCCACACGTCTGCAGACACAGAATTGCAGCTACAGCGGAGATTAAGAAGCAACACTTCCATTTCCTGACCCGTGAAGGGGTTACACGGGTGTGCTCTCTGTGGGATAATTCGGTTGTACTCTCTGGTGCACTTTTTTGTATAACGTTATACTTCAGCAGGAAAGGATTGTTACAAAAGCACTGAGCGCCAGAGGATGGCCATGGTCACGAAGCAGGATACCGAGATGAGGATGAGGTAGAAGTAAAGGAGGGCACATCCTAGTGTATGTGAGTGGCTCTCCCCCTAACACTGTGGGCACCTCGAGGGCAGGGCCCGCGTCTTCATTTTGCCCCAGAGCCCAGCCCTGAGCCTGCCACAGTAGACCCAGGGTCTGATGCACGAAGGAAACCAGGAAGCCGCGTTCACCTCCCAAGCCCCATGTGCGGGGTCAGAGAAAGGACGTTCGGAGAATGGAAGACCCCACGGCCACAACCCCTTGGCTCTGTTCAGGGGACAATCCTTCTTGTCCTCAGGCCCGATTCTTGGAAGGGCAAGAGCCCAGCGGCTCAACCTTGTCCCTGCCCTGTGCTGGCGAGCGCTCCAGGGTCTGGCTTCCACGCCCAGCTCAGCCTACGCAGGTGCCTCACAGCCCGGAGCTGGGGAAGGGCCTGAGAAAGGGGCAGGCGCCAGGACAAGAGCAGCAGCGGCGCGCCAGGGCGGCTGACAACCTGACCTGTGGAGGCAGGACTCGCGTTGCGGACCGCCCTGGCCGGCCCCAGGGGAGCCGAGCCGGGCTGCTCGGAGCGGGGCCGCGCAAGGGCCTCTCGGGGTGTGCGCGCCGCGGTCGCGAGCCCAGCGCCACGCCCAGCGCCACGCGCCCTTGGACAGCAGTTGCTCCCTCGGATGCAGCGGGTCGGTAGCGGTCTCCCCAGCGGGAGCCGGGTGGCGTCCCGCGGTCCCAGCGTGGCCCTCGCCGAACAGAACCAGGTGGCCACGCTGCCGGTACGGCTGCTCAGGGACGATGCGGCGGCTGTGCGGAACAACGTCCACGCAGAGGATGGCTTCCAGATGAAGGTGGATGCCTACGGCTTTACCCCCGAGGAGCTGGTGGTGCAAGTGGACGGCCAATGTCTGATGGTGACCGGCCAGCGACAATTGGAGGGCTGCAGCCCGGATGGGGCCGGCTACCGCGTGGCGCAGAGGGTGCACCGGCAGATGCAACTACCGCCGGACCTGGATCCCGCCTCCATGACCTGCAGCATGACCCCCTTGGGCCAGCTGTGTGTCCGAGGCCCGTGCCGGGCGCTGCCTTCCCCTGAAGCCCAAAAAGACCCATCCCCGAGAGTCCGGGGCCGTGGCTCTAAGTACCAACCTAGCCTGACCCAGTAAACAACCACTGTAGTGTGCAGCAGCAGCCTTGGTGTTGTGGTCTTTTCTTGGGGCTGGGGTCAGAGGTTGAGGCATAACGAGATACAGAGAGGGCCAGTGGGGGGTCTCAGGAGGCAGGAAAGGCACTTTAAGGTGGTGGTCCACCAAGAATCAGGCCTCTGCGGCCCTGGGAGAAGCTGGGGGAGCTCAGTGGACCAACAGCCCAGCCCCTGGCAACTGACAGCAAGAGCTCCAGCAGGGAGCAGCAGAGGGCCAAGGAGGCCTGCAGGGGCACCAGGTTCCACAAGTAGCAGAGCACCGGACAGACCAGGGACCAGACAGATGGCTTGGACCTGGTGTAGGGCGGTGCCTTGGCCTCATGACCAGCTCAAGGTTCCAGAGGTCACCTGGGAAAGGGTGAGAGGACCCAGCCCTTCACAAGGTACAGACTAACCAAAAAAACCCCAAAGAGGTTGTTTTGGTGTTTCAGAGACCAACTATTTTCAGTCTACAGCCATCCCACCCTGAACGCGCCTATTTTCAAATACAAACTGCACATCACCCCAATATAATCTGGAGGGGGGCGGGGAAAAGGCAAATGCAGGTCCCTCAACTTCTAACTTGGTGAGATTCAGCCCCAGGTCACTCTCACCCCACCCCCACCCCCTAAAGCTGGTACCAGGAAGGGCCTCTTTCTCTTGGTTACCATGACCACCAGCATCCTCTCACTTTTGGAGGGGGGGAGCCTTTGTTCCGTAAGATTCAGTGGTTCATTTTAAATTAACTTCAAGTAAGCTAGAGCGGATATGGTCTGATAAACTCTGCCAGAGAAAGACAAGGAAGACAAGCAGAAGGTCGATTGATCGGCTGACTATATTGACAAGATACTGATTGGTTACATGTTGAAGAAAACATACAATACAAAATACAGAAAAAGTTGGTTCCATCCCCTCCCAGTTCCCCCCCCGCTTACCCACCCATCCCCAAATACTCATCATCGTGATTTGGTCAGAACAGGGCTCAGAGCCAGAGGTCAGGGTGACGGGGGGGGGGCGCAGGTTGTGGGCAGTGGGTTGGTGGCTGTCACAATAATGCTGTGGTAATGCTGTGGTTTCTCTCCCAGCTGTGAGTCAGGGGGTGAGTGGGGGCTGCAGCCTGATGACAGCCAGCTGAGGGAAGAGCTCTCTCTCCCTTCCCTCACCCCTAGGGCCTGCCCCACCACCCAGAACCAAGCCCACTCCAAACATGGTAAGGATATGGATGCTCTTGCTGAGTCTGCTAATCAGCAAGAGGGAAAGAAGGGTAACTGCTCCAACCCCCGCCTCCCCACATACAAGGGTAGGGGGGAACAGGGGCACGTGGCTACTACCAGCAAAGGAAGAGTGGGAGAGCAGTAGAAAGGGCTGGAAGTGGGAAGAGCAGAAGATCATATATATTAAAAAAGTGACTTAAGACTTAAAATTGAATTAGTATTTGTACAGAAAGGTGCAGGTGGAATAACTCACTCCGGCCTATGATCAAAATTCTATGGAGAAATCATGGCGGACCCCTCCCCC